CGCGCGGTTTGGCCCTGGACGGACACCGTAGCCGAGAGGCTGGGCGGATGTTGTGAGCCGGGACGCCGCGGCCGACACGGGGTGAGTGAGGGGCGGCTGGGCTCCGGGAGAGGTGGGTCCCCGCGGCTCGCCTTGCGGCCTCGGCCTGTCTAGTGCGAGGGTGCTCGTCGCTCAGGGAGTCGCAGTCTAAAGTGCGAGACTCCGGGCTGGAGTTGTCCTGGAGGAGCCTCTAGAGCTTGGGGCCGGGCGGGGGCGACTTGGCAGAAACCAGCGCTGCCCTCACGTCCTTGGGTTCCGAGATGGGGTCGGTTCTGTTCTGAGCCCGGATCCCTCGGCGCGGCTGAATAGGATCGACGTGACAGGGAGCCCCCGAGCAAAGTCAAAATCTACCTCTCATCTGGGTCTTCAGCACCTGACACCCGGGGTGGATGGAAGGTTTACTCCTCAGATGAGCGACCACGTCTAATCTGTCCTGGACCTGTTCTGGAGTGAGAGGGACAGCGATCATGGTTGCCTGCGGTGGGCGGTAGGGTGGGAAGTCACTTTCCCGAGGGGCAGGCGTGGTGCGGACCGTGAGTGAGCAAGGGTGTGTGGCGGGAGCACTGGACCTGTTTGGGGTGAGATAAGAGAAAAGAGTGCTGTCTAAGGTATTGCTCGAGGGCTAGGCTCTAAACCAGCTGATAGAACTTTCTGTGATGATGGAAATGTTCTTTATGTTCGGTGTCTTGTCTCATAATCACTGGCCACAAAATCCGTGAAATGTGGTTAATATAATTGAGAAATTGATTTTTTTTTGAGTAAAGGTAGGCTTATTTAGAGAGATACATACTCCATAGAGTGCAGGCTTTTTCAGAAGGGAAGAGAAAAGCCACGAGGTTTGGGGGTTAGGTGATTAGTTTAAAGTAAAAGTAGTTACACACTCCATAGACAGAGTGGGATCTGTTTCACTCAGATGGGAGAGTGCCTGAGAAATTGATTTTTAAATTTTTAGAAATTTAATTCAAATTTAAGTAGCCACATGTGGCTAGTAACTACTGTGTTGTACAGCACAGCTCTAGATCTTTGAGGCTGGTACTAGCAATTTAGTGCAGCTTCTGAAGCAGCTGTAGCAACACCATGATATATAAGGAATGGACAGCAGTGGGAAGACCAGTGGAGTCTTTGAATGGGCAAGGGTGTTGCTGTGATGGGGTGGGAGACTGTAAGTGCAAACAGGAAAGCTAGCAGGCCTTTGGAATAGAGAAGGGGTGATCCTGGAACTGAGGAAGGGGGTCCTGGCCTTGGGTGTCAGCAGGACTTGTGGATGGAGATGGACAAGGCCTTGGACAGTGGACTTGGCTTGGTTTGGGTTCTCTCTTCCAGATATGGACCCAGTGTGGCTTACAACTGAGAAGGATACATGGGCTCTTCCCCTAGGCCACCTCACTTTAGACACTTTGATCTGATTTCCCACTGGGTTGAGGCATTTCATTTAGTTTAACAAACATATATCTGCCACCTGCTCTGTGTCAGGCCCTGTGTGAGCCCTGGGATGTGCTGGGGCCCTGTAACATGGGCCCAGAACCCCACTCACCCTCCCTGTGTAGGAAGCTGGAGGCCACTGCTTTCCTGTGCCCTGGGTTAGTGTGTGTGTGTGCGCGCGCATGCGCTGGCTTCACCTGCTCCCAAGCCTCCTGACACCCCAAGACTAAGGTCAGTGTGAGGGCCCTTGACCAGCTTTGAATAGACAGGTTTTGCCTCTGCTTCAGCCCCCAGGACCACTGGCTTCCCACAAGAGATGAAAGATGGCATCCAAAGGGGCTAGCATGTCTTTTTCCCGCAAGAGCTACAGGCTGACCTCAGATGCGGAGAAATCCAGGGTCGCAGGTGAGGGGTTGCAGGACTGGGAGGAGGCTCCTTGTGTTGAGGGAAGAAGGAGGAAGAGACAGAGGTGGCAAGGGTCCCAGGTCCAGTGAGTCTCAGGCTTTGCTGCACCCCTCGTACTGTGAGCCAGCTCTTCCCTGACAGCAGCCGTGGAGCAGGGTACCCAATGTGACTGCTTCTCTGACCCCTGGACCTGGGACCAGGAGCCTCTGGGGCAACGAGAAGCTGAGAGCCACACTGACCATGTGTCCCTTCCCTCTCTTCTGATCTGTGGCCCAGGCATCGTGCATGAGAAGCTACTGAATGACTACCTGCAGCGCATCTTTTCCTGTCCTGATCGGGCACCCACGGCAGCCACCAGCAGGTATGGCCGGGGGGATTGCCCCTCCTCTCCCTGCGGGACCAGACCAGAGGCTGGGAGTGGCATTGTAGGGAAGGGGGCCTGGGCTCTGGGGAGGCTGACTTGAGCTCCGTTCTCACTCTGCTACTCCTGGCGGTGACATCTGCGGCCAGAGAGTCTGCCTTCTGGACCCCACTTCTTCTTTTCCCCTGGCAGTGCTAGTACCTTCCTTCTGAGGATGGAGCAGAGGGTAGGGGCGTAGTGGTGTGCACTCAGCACTCATCATAGCACTTCACACCTGAGTACTCCCCACTCAGCTTCTGGTCCAGTGTGCACCTGCCCTCACCTCTGCCCCACCCTGGCCCTCTGTAGCCTCTGCTTGGATCTGTGAAGCACAGACCCCACCAGCTTTTTTCCTTGCTTATGTAATATATTTAAGTTTAGCCTATGTCAAAGTTACAGGTGCACTTTAGCAGAAACTTAGAAACAGACAAAGAAGAAGCATCTGTCATCTTATGCTAACATGACCATTTGAGCGTGATTCCTTTCTGTTTCCTTTATATCAAGATGTATGTCGTTTGGATTGTGCTGTATGGAAAGTTTGTTAAAACTTTTTGTCAATTTCAGCTCCTTAAAACAAACTTTTATTGAGGAATATTTATACAGTAAACTACATGTATTTAAAGTATACTATCCAGTAAGTTTTAATATGGATAACGTGTGAAATCATCACTGCCACAAATGTGTCCCATGAACGTGTCCCTCCAAAAATATTTAGGAAAGTCTTATCTTTGTTATCAGGTGGTGTTCAGAAAATTATAGATTTTCTGTATTACAGTGGCTGGGGCAGGTGGGCATCTTTTAGGGCCTGGAGTCTGCCGTATCCCTGAGCACTGTCCTGGTTTGGAGGAGCTTTTGTTTTTATGAACAATGCTGTTTGGATGCCCAGGGTTGGAATCATGTGGCTGGAGTATCTGAACTGCAATCACTCTTTAGACTGTTGCTGAATTACTTCTCCAGTGGGACCTGTACATTCTTCCTCCCTGCAGTGAGGCATGGGGGTCTCTATAGTTCAGCCCCCTTGCCAGCCAGGGCTGGTCTGTCACAACCTCTGCCCGCTGGGTGTCGCAACAAAGGGCTGCATTGTTGCCTGTTCCATTTAAGCAGCTGTGACGGCCAAGGGTTTCTGCTTGTTCAGGGCTGCTACCCACCTCCGCCACAACCCTAGTCCTGGCCTGTTCCCAGGGCCATCTGATCCCTACCTCATGTGATACCAGAAGCCATCCTGCTGCCGCTGGGGCCGTGGCTGCCAGGAGGGAGAGCAGGTGGCAGAGCCATTAGTCAGGGTTGTGTGGATGCAGAGTCCTGGGCTGGAATCTAGGCAGTCCAGAAAGGGCAGGCGAGTGCTGGGGTTGGCCGAATGGGCAATGCTGCCGGCACCTAGTGAGGCTGAGTCTCAGGCTGGCCACCCATAACTGCTCTTGAGAGCAGACGCAAGACTAGAGTAGCCCTTCCAAGTGTGGGCCTATAAGAAATACTGCTGAGGAAGCCTCCTTTATCTATGGACCCAGTAGGGTATTCAGAGATGAGGTTGGCTACAGCTTTCCATGCTGCTGGCCTGGCACCCATTTGCAAGCGTGCCCCCTGGCCTTGTCCTGGGGCTCAGCAGGAGTCGGTGGGAGGCTTCATGTATGTCCACTTCTTGCAGCTCCAGGTCATTAGTAGCTCACGGCAGGGGAACATTTGGCCCCTGTGCCGGTTTGAAGCTAGCTTGCTAGAAAGTTGGGGCTTTGGCCCACCTATGCCCCCTTCCAGAGCCTACTCTGTAGGAGGATCACTGGGGTTGGAGCCAGGATTAGAGATGGAAGAATGGGTGCCAGCAGTCTGTGGACTGGATCCAGATGGACATCGGGCCTCTGCTCTTTGATCCCTGCTAGTTACTGACACCCAATTCCCTGCTATTCTTAGCAGCTGAACTCAGGACTGAGCTGGCCGACATTAGACAGAGCCTTTTTTCCTCCGGGCATGTGTGCTGGGAGGATAAGGGAGTCACTCAGACAGATTTTCCCAGCCCCTTTGGCTGGGGCAGGTGGCAGGCCGTGTGCTCTCCTCTCCTATAGAGATGAGTACAGGACCGAGCCAGCCAGCAGCTAAGAGGGCTGAGCTCTTCATC